GACCTATTCGTTTCTTTGCAACGAGCTTAGCTCTAGTTTATTTTATAATTCATACTAAGGGATTTGTAACAAGTTCTTACAACTTAGAAAAATCTTTCTCATTGTAAAGTTTGCTCAATTTCTAGAATTGTTTTTGCAATAATTATGATAAAAACTTTGATTGTATGATGATGCAAAAATTATGTTGATTTAGATAACTCAGTTTGTTCAAGATATGTCACTTAAAAATAGAAAATAAAGTAGACTATAACTTGACAGATTATAATTCCAGTCATAAACATTTGTTGATCTATGAAAAGTAACCTCCACAAGGCAGCATTTGACAAAATGTTGTACATAAAATGTAAATAAACCTGAGATAAATCAAAATGTCTTGATCTTTTTCAGAGAAGGCTACATTTTTATACCCCCACTTTGAATAATTGGGGTCATCCAGGTTCAATCAAGGGTGTACGAGGATATACCCTGGGTTTTATTCCATGCATCCTAAGGCTCTTGGCCTCAGACATTGCCGTTCAGTGGATAGACACCCCCTCTCAATGGTTACACACGCTCTCTCAGTAGTTGGACATGCCTACTCATTGGTTAGACACGCCTACTCAGGGGTTAGACACGCCCACTCAGTAGTTAGACACAGCTACTCAGTAGTTAGACACACCTACTCAGTGGATAGACACGCCCACTTAGTGGTAAGACACACCATATAGCCACACCCAATTATTGGTTACACACGCCTGGTCGGTGGTTACACAAGCCCGATCAGTAGTTAAACACGCCCTTTCAATAGTAAGATACGTCCACTCAGTGGTTAGACACACCCACTCAATGGTTACAGAAGTCCACTAACTGGTTAAACACATCTTCTCAGTGGTTAGACATGCCCACTCAGTGGTTAGACACACCCACTCATTAGTTACACACACCAACTGTGGTTAAACACACCCATTCAGTGGTTACACAGGCCCACTCTGTGGTTGGACACACCCAATCAGTGGTTACCATTAGCCATGCCCATCAGTGGTTAGAAATACCCACTCAGTGGTCACACACGCCAACTCAGTGGTTAAACACAACTTCTCACTGGTTAGACACACCAGTAAGTGGTCCGATATGCCCACAAAGTGGTTCGATATGCTCACTCAGTGGTTTCACACGTCCACTCAGTTGCTAGAGAGATGTATAGTGGGTTTTTTTTTGGAACGGTTATTTGGGGTTTTATAATTTTTTCATTACTTATGCAGCAATATACCTTGAGTTCATCACCTGCATACGGAGTGTATATATCTCAGTTGATTCTATACGCAAGAGCATGCTCTATTTATGAACAATTTCTAAGACGAGGTAAATTATTATCAAGCAGTTTGATGAAACAAGAATATCAGCAGTCTCATTTAAAGTCATCATTTCGTAAGTTCCATGGTCGATACAATGACCTTGTCAGTAAATATAATTTATAATTGAGGTACATGTAAAACTGCTTGGTGTTAAAATTTTGAGGTTATCGTGTGCATGTCTTTAACCTAAAAATAATCCACATAAAGACAAAATTTCAACTCATTTTTACTTGTCTTTCTCGCTTCATATTTGATATGTTGACTTTGGGAATTTAGCACAGCATGCACGAACCACATTTGAAACCATTATGAAAAAATAAAAATGTCATAATTCTGTCAAAAATCATTAAAGTGAAATGACATTCAAAATCGATTTGTATCTCAAAATACACTCACTTCACCTTTACACTCACCTACCTAAAATCAGCTCTATAACGTTACATGTATCTGCAACTAGGGTTTAAAAAAATGTACGGAAAACCAAGTAAGACAAACAGACCAACAGACTCAGAGGAGGCCTATAGTTTCCTCCGGTTTCACCGGTAGGGGACTTATAAGTGGGGGGGGGGGGGAGGGGGTATATATTTTCCATTGCAATTAAGTTTTTAAATTTAAATTATCACCATATTTGAAATATTCTTGGATATAAGTGAATGTTCATTAAATCTTTTATTTTAAGTCTATTTAAAATCAATCATATATTATTAACAAGGTTTCTGAGAGTATTGTATAAGCAATACACGCTCCCTGTCGGATTCCCCTTCTTTCTGTAGAATAGGCAGCAACTCCTTTGGAATATTGCATAAGTGCATCGCGAAACCGATCATACCCAATTGTAATCCCATTAATTATTGTAAAAAATTTAAAAATGCCATAATTCTGTCAAAAGTCAAATGAATGATGCAAGATGAAATTCAAACTTCACCTGTACCTAATTACCTAAAATCAGCTAAATATCCACAAGCGATAAAGAAAAAAAGTGCGGAAAACCAAATGGGCCAAATGGAAGGACAGAGGGACGTGTGATCAGAAAAGCTCATTTGAGCTTTCAGCTCAGGTGATCTAAACAGGTTATATTAGAAAAATAAAAACCCTTAAAATTTGTGGTTGGAATAATAATAAGACAGAGTGACTACTATAGGGCACCTGCAAATCCTTGTACAGCTGGATTTATCTACCGATCCTCATAAAATGTTCCAAGCTGAGCTATATTGCAAACAGTAAGCACAATCAGTTTTGATGTTAAATTTTATTTATTAGTTGGATTTCCTGTTATAAAAAAATAAAATTTTTAATGTAAAAAAATTTAAAGTTGTAAAGCAAATTTAAAATATTTTTATAATTATACATATATCAATGAAAACATAAATAAACTTTCAATCAAGAACAATTTATACAATCATGACATGTACTTCATATAAACCTTTTATACATGTTGAATTTGCAGTTCATAAAGCTATCAATAAAAATTATAGGTAATATTGCACTCTGTTTTCTATGAACAATATCTCCCACACGATCATTTATATTCACCGGTATATATACAAAACAAAAAAAATTAAATAAACTTAAAATATGAAATTTTTTGCACTACCTATATAAATTTTCAATACATAAAAAAAATGTTATAACATTTAAAAATTTTCTACACTAAAAATATAAAAAAAAAAATCATCAACACAAATAAATCATGGCTAATTAGCATGATAAAACAACTTCATGTAAAATCACATAATCTAAGGAATGTGAGGTTTTCTGCTTGATTTTACACAGCTTATAATCAAAAGCAAACTTAATACGTACAGTTGTAGTACTAGATAATAAAACAATTTTTAACTAGAACTGTCCAATCGGGACAAAATATCCCCCGCTGAGGTTTTTCAGAAGTAAGTTTTTGCATAATAAAGATATGTATCAAACACGAATTTAAAATTTTTCTTCCAGACCTTGAACTTCCCCAAATGACCTTGGGTGAAGATAATGACACATTGGGTCATAAAAATCTTTGAGTGAAATAAGAACCTTCCAAGTTTATCCATAATATGGACCGGACACAAATTATGAAATTTTTCTTCCAGTGACCTTGAACTTCCGCAAATGACCTTGGGTCAAGGTCATGACACACCCCACCATCATGGGCAATCTTTGTGTGAAATAAACCTACCAAGTTTATCCATAAGAAAGATATGGACCGGACACGAATTATGAAATTTTTCTTCCAGTGACGTTGAACTTCTCCAAATGACCTTGGGCCAAGGTCATGACACACCCTTGGGTCATGGGCAATCTTTATGTCAAATTAAAACCTACCAAGTTTATCCATTTTTGAAAGATATAGACCGGACACAAATTATAAAATTTTTCTTCCAGTGAAAAATCTGATAAACTTTCTTGATAATAATTCATTTTTGATAGCAAGAAAATGTTTAGCATGGAATGATCAAGACCTTGAACTTCCCCAAATGACCTTGGTTAAAGGTCAAGACACATCCTTGGGTCATGGGCAATCTTTGAAATAAGAACCTTCCAAGTTTATCAATAAGAAAGATATGGACCGGAAATGATTTATGAAATTTTTCTTCCAGTGACCTTGAACTTCCCCACATGACCTTGGGTCAAGGTCATGACACACCCGTGGGTCATGGGCAATCTTTGTGTAAAATGAGAACCTACCAAGTTTATCCATAAAAGATATGTGTCAAACATGAATTTTGAAATTTTTCTCCCAGTGACCTTGAACTTCCCCAAATGACCTTGGGTCAAGGTCATGACACACCCGTGGGTCATGGGCAATCTTTGTGTGAAATGAGAACCTACAAAGTTTATCCATAAGAAAGATATAGACCGGACACGAATTAAAAATTTTTCTTCCAGTGACCTTGAACTTCCCCAAATGACCTTGGGTCAAGGTCATGACACATCCTTTTAAAAAAAGTGTACATATTTAAATATACATCATGGGCAATCTTTGTGTGAAATGAGAACCTAAAGTTTATCCATAAAAGATATGTGTCAAACATGAATTTTGAAATTTTTCTCCCAGTGACCTTGAATTCCCCAAATGACCTTGGGTCAAGGTCATGACACACCCTTGGGTCATGGGCAATTCTTTGTGTGAAATGAGATCCTAAAGTTTATCCATAAGAAAATATGGATCTAACGAATTATAAAATTTTTCTTCCAGTGACCTTGAACTTCCCCAAATGACCTTGGGTCAAGGTCATGACACACCCTTAGGTTATGAGCAATCTTAGTGTGGAGTATAGATTCTAATGTTCCTTGTAAGAAAGATATGGACCGGACACGATTGCACAGACAGACGGACAGCTAGACAGACAGACAGACGGACAGACAGACAGACGGACAAGGTGATTCCTATATACCCCCCCAAACTTCGTTTGCGGGGGGTATAAAAATCTTAACAATATATCACATGAAGGTAAAGTGTTTAAGATAAGGTTTGATAATAATCCATATTTTTTTTATAGCAAGATCAACTGTTCGGCATGGAATGATAGCGATCCAAGTTCTTTGTGGGGTGGATCTAAAACTATTTTCTTTTAGGGTTTATACTGATCCTATAAGTGTTTTGTGAAGGGTTGATAGTGATTCAAGTTCTGTATTATACACATGTAAGGTAGATTCTGATATGTTCAGTTTGATAGAATGGACACAAATTCTCTGTGGTTGGATATGGATCTAAGTTCTTTTTGGGTGGATATGGATCTAAGTTCTTTGTGGGTGGATATGGATGTAAGTTCTTTGGGGGTGGATATGGATGTAAGTTCTTTGGGGGTGGATATGGATCTAAGTTTTTTTGTGGGTGGATATGGATGTAAGTTCTTTGGGGGTGGATATAGATCTAAGTTCTTTGTGGGTGGATATGGATGTAAGTTCTTTGGGGGTGGATATAGATCTAAGTTCTTTGTGGGTGGATATGGATGTAAGTTCTTTGGGGGTGGATATGGATGTAAGTTCTTTGTGGGTGGACATGGGTGTAAGTTCTTTGAGGGTGGATATGGATCTAAGTTCTTTGTGGGTGGATATGAATCTAAGTTCTTTGTGGGTGGATATGGATGTAAGTTCCTTGGGGGTGGATATGGATCTAAGTTCTTTGTGGGTGGATATGGATGTAAGTTCTTTGGGGGTGGATATGGATCTAAGTTCTTTGTGGGTGGATATGGATGTAAGTTCTTTGGGGGTGGATATGGATCTAAGTTCTTTGTGGGTGGATATGGATCTAAGTTCTTTGTGGGTGGATATGAATCTAAGTTCTTTGTGGGTGGATATGGATCTAAGTTCTTTGTGGATGGATATGGATCTAAGTTTTTTGTGGGTGGATATGGATCTAAGTTCTTTGTGGATGGATATGGATCTAAGTTCTTTGTGGATGGATATGAATCTAAGTTCTTTATGGGAGGTATATGGATCTAACTTCTTTGTGGGTGGATATGGATCTAAGTTCTTTGTGGGTGAATATGGATCTAAGTTCTTTGTGGATGGATATGGATCTAAGTTCTTTGTGGGTGGATATGGATCTAAGTTCTTTGTGGGTGGATATGGATCTAAGTTCTTTGTGGGTGGATTCTTATATGTTCAATTAGGTAAGATAAGGCTAAAAGTTCATTTGAGGTAAGGTTGGGGGGTTAGGATTTTTTGTAAATTACATGGTTTGTCAATGAGCAAGTTTGAATTATCCCTTTTGGATTTCATAACTAATCTGACATATCAAAGCATACTGAAGATCAATATTAATACAGCATGTTGTATAGTTATGTATATCAATTTTTTTTCAAAAAAACTTGTATTAAATACACACAGTATATTTTTATAGAAATTAATTGCAAGTATATACCATATAATTATGATGAAAAAAAACAGATTAAAATTTGGTTGACCAAATTCAAAGTATTTGTCAAAAAACTTTCAATATCAAATTAACACTTGCGTAAATACCAACAGACATGGAACAGTTATTATTATCTAGTAACAATATAATCAAATCACATTCATGTAAGCATAACCATCTCTAACACAGTGATTCCAAAGTGAACAAAAGCTGACATGCAGCCAGTCGTAGAATCTATATAGCACGAAGTTCCTCATAACACCTTAAATAAGCATGCTACAAATGGAGTAATTATAAAAAGTCAGTATCTAGATTTGTCAAATCCAGTTCATTTTTTTTGTATATAATTAGCAGGTTTTTTTTTTACTAAAGTGAGTTATTCCCTTAATTAAATTCATAAGTACACAATACTATTGCCTAGCATATAAATAATTTATGGCACCTCATGCATTTAGTAAAACGTAATTATTCAACGTAACATTCTATCAAACTTAACAAACTATATTAATTAAATGTTATTGTTTTCATACATGACCTGAAGTGATTTAAATCACAAAAGGTTATGTTTTGTAGAAGTCATCAAAAAAAAAAAATAGATAACAAATTAGTTTCAGACACCTCATTGGAATGGTCTCATTCACACACACCCTCTTACCCACTATAGTTTGAGTATGGGTGGGTGGAGGGTCATGTAAGATCTGAAGATATGGGTGTATTATTATACAGACGGTCAGGGTGTTGAGGGAGATTTCATTCTATGGGGGTGATGTCACTCACAACCCTGTGAAGTTCCTGTATTGCTGGTATGTCTGTTTGTAAAACACCTGATAATTTTGATATAATCCCCTTCGCCTCCTTCAGAAATGTGGACTCTGTCATAAAAAAAGAAGTTTGGAAAAAAGAAACACAGAGATTAATTTAAAGTTCTTCTGAATATATGTAAAGTGCTCTTGTGCTGTGACTACAGTTTGATGGATGTAAAGTGCTCTTGTGCTGTAAATACAGATTAGTTGATGTAAATTGCTCTTGTGCTGTGACTACAGATTGGTGGATGTAAAATGCTCATCTGCTGTGACTACAGATTGGGAGATGTAAAGAGCTCTTGTGCTGTGTCTACAGATTGGTGGATGTAAAGTGCTCATCTGCTGTGACTACAGATTGGGAGATGTAAAGAGCTCTTGTGCTGTGTCTACAGATTGGTGGATGTAAAGTGCTCTTGTGCTGTGACTACAGCTTGGTAGATGTAAGAGTTCTTGTGCTGTGACTATTGGTGGAAGTAAAGTGCTCTTGTGATGTGACTAAAGATTGATGGATGTAAAGTGCTCTTGTGCTGTGACTAGAGATTGGTGCATGTAAAGTGCTCTTGTGCTGTGACTACAGATTGGTGGATGTAAAGTGTTCTTGTGCTGTGACTTTTGGTGGATGTAAAGTGCTCTTGTGTTGTGACTATTGGTGGATGTAAAGTGCTCTTGTGCTGTGACTATAGATTGTTCATGTTGTGACTATAGAATGGTGGATGTAAAGTGCTCTTGTGCTGTGACTACATATTGGTGGATGTAAATTGTTATTGTGCTGTGACTACAGATTGGTGGATGTAAAGAGCTCTTGTGCTGTGTCTACAGATTGGTGGATGTAAAGTGCTCTTGTGCTGTGACTACAGCTTGGTGGATGTAAAGTGTTCTTGTGCTGTGACTATTGGTGGATGTAAAGTGCTCTTGTGTTGTGACTATTGGTGGATGTAAAGAGCTCTTGTGCTGTGACTACAGAAGGTGGATGTAATGTGCTCTTGTGCTGTGACTACAGATTGGTGGATGTAAAGTGTTCTTGTGCTGTGACTATTGGTGGATGTAGTGTTCTTGTGCTGTGACTATTGGTGGATGTAAAGTGCTCTTGTGCTGTGACTACAGAAGGTGGATGTAATGTGCTCTTGTGCTGTGACTACAGATTGGTGGATGTAAAGTGTTCTTGTGCTGTGACTACAGATTGGTGGAAGTAAAGTGTTCTTGTGCTGTGACTTCAGCTTGGGAGATGTAAAGTGTTCTTGTGCTGTGACTATTGGTGGATGTAAAGTGCTCTTGTGATGTGACTACAGATTTATGGATGTAAAGTGCTCTTGTGCTGTGACTACAGATAGGTGCATGTAAAGTGCTCTTGTGCTGTGACTACAGATTGGTGGATGTAAAGTGCTCTTGTGCTGTGACTACAGATTGGTGGATGTAAAGTGCTCTTGTGCTGTGACTACAGATTGGTTTGTGTAAAGTGCTCTTGTGCTGTGACTACAGACTGGTGGATGGTAAGACACACCTGATAACTGGGGAAGGATATGCTGGTTCTGGAACACAGAGGTCAAACAGGTCAAGGCCACCTTCAGGACGTCAAGGCTGTATTTACCAAACATACAGTTCATGACCTCAAGGACACTCTTCTGAACAAGGTCATGAAAGAGAGACCTAAAAAGATTAGATAGGTTAACATGGAAACGGTTAAAATTAAGCATAACAGTAGGCCTAATGCATAGGACACAGTTACTTAAAAAAAAACTACTATACATTGCACATCAAAGAGTTCCAGTTCAGTGGTCTTTTTGTCGTATTACTTTATAGTAAAAGTGATTTCCCCTTTGATTTAAAAATATCAATTTAATTATTTGACTGACCTGTGTTTAATGCATCTCATATTTCTTTTGCCATCAGTTATTGGACTAACCTGTATCTGATGTTTTCATTTATTGGACTAACCTGTATCTGATGTTTTCATTTATTGGACTAACCTGTATCTAATGGCGTCTATAATGCTGATGAGGAATGCTGTATCAAGGTCCATCAAGGTTTTACTGTCGTTGTACTGAGACTTGACATATGCCTGTAACCCTTGTGGTGCCCCACTGACCTCTAAAAGACTGTACAGGGGTTTGTCAATGACAGAGAGAGCCTGAGCATCTTTACCTTCAAACACCAAAGAGCTGATGTGGTGAGTCACCTTAAAATTGAAAAAAAGTGTTTAAAACAGATGTTTGAAAAAGAAAATAGACTTTTTAAATGTCTTTTCCAAAAAATGATTAAGTTCACTTATTTTCAGGTAATTCTGAAGACAAAAACTTTCAGGTATAAATTTCGTCATAAAAATTTTATTCCTGCAAACCTGTACAGTTTGTTACATATTACACTAAAAATCAAATACTGTAGATTTCTAATTATATGCAACAAATTAATTTCCACATAATTTCAAAATAAGCATCACTGGCGAAATAAAATTACTCGCTGCAATATATTTAAAGTGCTGAAATCCATTTAAATTCTGTTGAACAACTGTCCATTTGCAAATTTTTATTTTTGCGACTTGATGTTAAAGAGCCCTTTTGTGATAAAAAATACTCCCAAAAAATAAGGAATCTACAGTAGTTACAATAATGCTAAAACAAGAGGCCCAGGGGCCACATCGCTTACCTGAGCAATTGGCTTGGGAAAAGCACATATCAGATCAGAACTGAAAGTTTACCGAGGTTGGGGTGGGGTCAAGATTTGAGCAAACTAGACTCTACACTACCTGAAGATAATTCCCTAAAAATATCACTAAGCCTTTGAAGTCTTGATTTTTAAAAGGTTTCATATATTATGTAAAAATTTACACTACCTTTGAACAACAACCCCCCCCAGACATGATTTGAACAAATTTTAACTACAGAAATTAGCTCACTTGAGCATCTTTCCTGGCTCAGTGGTTCTAAAAAGTTTATTAAGAATTTTTATATTCCGGATTTAATTTTGGCATTATTAGCGAGGGTGCCAAGATTGTTAAAATTTAAATATCGCTAAAAATTAATTGTGCTTTATTTCTAAAAGCTCCTAGAAAAGAAGATTTTTTAAAAATCCCTAAAATTACATCTCGCTAAGAATAAAATACCAATTTTTAAGGACAAATCGCTAAGATTCCACGTATACGGTATCTGTTTTTTTCCACTGATACCTGAAGTCTGATGACTTTGGTACATAACGACACATCTGACAACCAGTAAATTTTAACACTCCCGACTTCTGACCTGACTTCTCTCTCAAGCAGACTTCTTCAATTTGTGTATCGGATTAAGTCTCTCCGTTCTCTTGTGTCCCGAGGCCATCAGTGCGAGGCCAATCCATTGGTACATAATCTTCCTCCTCTGTAGAATCCTGTGAGATCAGAGAATGAGTGTTACTCATGTCCTGTGGGTTTGTAGACTGAGTGTTACTCATGTCCTGTGGGTTTGTAGACTGAGTGTTACTTGTGTCCTTTGGGTTTGGATACTGAGCGTTACTCTTGTCTTGTGGATTTGGATACTGAGTGTTACTATTGCCCAGTGAGTTTGAAGACTGAGCCTTACTCTTGTCCTGTGGGTTTGATTTACTTACGTCTTGTGAGTTTGAAGACTGAGCCTTACTCTTGTCCTGTGAGTTTGAATTACTTACATCTTGTGAGTTTGAAGACTGAGCCTTACTTGTGTCTAATGTTTCTTGCCCAGACAGGTCTAACACAGCACTATCCTCTTTCCTGTCATATTCTCTTAGCTTATTTGTCTGACATTCATTAAGAGTGGAACTTCCATCACTAT